AAATCAGACAGAGAAGGGAAGACTCTCAGAGTCTGATAGCAAAAGCGAAGCCAAAACCACAACCGAATACAAAGATGCTTTGGTCAAAGATCAACAGACCCAATCAACCTTTATCGAAGATGAAAGGGCACCTAATTGGTACACGGTACACACCGGACCAAAAATTGGAGTCTATAATAGCTTTGAGAAAATAAAAGATTTGCCACCTGAATACTATCATACGGCAAAAACTGAATTTGAAGCAAGAATGATCTTTGAAAAGCTAAAAAGCAGAATCACTGAGAGAGTACCAATATATCGTAACACTGGTATTCCTAAAGAGCATCAGTTGAAAAATCCATTCATAAAATTTGATGAATTCAAAATACAACAACTGGATAGTAAGTTAATCAAAACTACTATAACCAAAGAAGAATGGCTCACGTTATATGAAGAAGTAAACGCGAGTACAAGTGAACAAGGATACATTCCTATAAGCAGAAATCAACAGATCAAAGCCATTCTGCTACCAGGAGTTGCACCTGAAATAACAAGAGACTTGTTCCTAGGAGGATTCATAGATACCCTCTACCCAGAGAACAGTTTAAAAGAGTTGTCATATTTTCCAAAAATCAAACGAGCGATCGCTTTGTACATGGAAAAATGCCGAATTCGTGAAAACAACAAATCGATCTTTGTCAAGATCTGGAGTTCAATACCAGACTGGAACTAAGAAGAACAATATCCAGCATACCATTATATTCATGTGGGGGTATCTGAAGAAGTAAAACTACCAGTACCACTGGTACAAGAAAAACCTCCATTGACAGAGGAAGAGCTGAAATTAGAAAGAGCAGATAGAATTTATTTTATCTTAAAAACCGTAGAAAAAATAAATTCATCAAGCCAAGTTAAAGTAAATTATTGCAGCCCGAATATACTTCTGGTTAGCAATTTCAATAAGAAAATTGACAAACAAGACTTGGCCATAGTCCAGAATTGGCAGGACAATCTTATTCTTAAGATCCATGCCACAGAAGCAACAAAGCAAATGGTGCAGTCGATTGTTCTTACAGTCAATGAAGAGAAAGAAAAGCATCAAAAGAAGAAGAAGAAGGTTGCCGACACTAACGACAAAAGGGAGTCTGGCAAGCAAAAAGAAAAACGAGTGGAGGACCCTACCATTTTGGAGAACAACTCAAACAAGTCGGAGGACCCTACCATTTTGGAGAACAACTCAAACAAGACATCTGCCTCAGAAGAAGACTTGCCAGCCATTGCCATGTGATCCTTGATAATTGAAGACCCTACCACTATGTAATGTAATAATGTAGCAAGTCATGCCATAAGTGTAGTCCCTACCACTAAGAAATAATGTAGCAGACAAACTCATGTGGAGAGTTTCTGCTTTTTCTTTCCCTTTTTTCATAATGCGTTTGGTGAGACGGCAACTTGTGCCGAACCCCAATAATTCACGCATTTTAGTTTCTATATAAGGGAGTGCCATTTGAGCATGTAAGGCATCGATCCCTCATCAGATTTCTATGTTTCATTCTTTGTAAACATTTTATATTAAATAAAAGGTTGTTCTTTTCAAAAAGGTCCCGAGATTTATAAAATAGCATTAAGCATCAAACACTTAGAAGCGATTAAGCTTCAAAGGAGGATCAAACAAAAAGCTTAGGCTAAAATTCTCTGGAGATTCCTGGAGACACAATCGCTCGTCGGAGTAAGACCCACAGAGAAGGGCTGTAAGGCGACTTGGAGCACAGTGTTTGGAATTTGAGAGTAAAAGCAGGAAGCCATGGTGGACCAATCATCTCAAGCATACTAAAAGAACTCAAATCCCAGAAGAAAGGTATGAACTCAGAACTTTTTAATAATGTTTTCAATAATATTGAAAATTGCATGCAATTACCTATAAGGTTAGATAAATATGAAGAATTAAGAAAATTAGAAAATAATTTTTTAAAGATCATTAAGCTAGAAATTTTAGAGAGACTGAAAATTCTATAAAATGGTGTTCAAAGACAGACTATTAGAAATAATAGACGAAGAACAAAGGATAACTATTATAATGATATTCATTCATCACTTGTAACTAGAGAAAAAGAGTTAGCTAAAGTTATATCAAACTTAGAAAAACTCTGTATATAAATAATATACAATGCCTGCTATTTCGTGGGAATATATTTTAGAATCAACTATTCAAAAGTTGAAAATTAAGTATCGAACTTTGATTCAAACTTGCGATAAAAATCTGATTGCTTCGGATATTGAAAGAATGGCTTATAGCCTTCGACTCGTCCAAAACGAAAATCCATTACAACCCCAGAATTTGAGGTTTGTCAAAAATGGATTTATCTTGGCAGAGTCTCATCTTTCTCATGAGTATTCCTCATAAATCATAGTTTCAAATAAAATAAAAAGAGAGAACAATTTCTTTTAAAGATTGTTTTAACTTTTAAAGATGAAAGAAGAGTTTGACATTATTAACGAAAGATTAAATGCTAGTTCCATAAGTTTAGATACTTATGGTAATATAAGAAAAAATGAAATAGATTTATTTGAAAAAGCTAGAGAAGATCTTTTACAAAATCTAGAAAACCTTATATATGGAATTACACTCAAGAAAAATTATTATAAAAGGTATTCTACAAGAGATAATTACTATGGAGATTGTTTTCCAGAAATAGAAGGACAAGTTAATTATCTGAAAAGTATAAAGAAAAAATTGAAAAAACTAAGATTTAATATCTAGGAATAAGTGAAAATGATGAGTGAAAACGAAAGTGAAAATAAGTGCAAATGGTATCAGAGCCTGGTATCAGGCGAAAGTACTAAAATATTAGATTAATGGATAGAGAAGATAATCTTTTAGATTACTACACAAAGCACGAAAAATCAGGCTATTTAATTGAAGCCTTGATAGATGCTAATAAATTAGGAATAGCAGATCATGACTTAAAAAAGAATCATAACTTCAGAAATGAAGGATTGATAAAGAAATTAAATAACTTAATTTCTAGGAAAAATGAAATATTCTTTGGAATCATTTCTGGAGAAGAAGCAATAGATACAGATCAAACAGAAGGAAATGTAGTTATTCCTGTTATCTGTAAAGAACAAATTCTTTCTACATTGAAAGATATAAAAACAGAAACTAGGAATAAAATCTCTTACTTACATGTTTCTACTATACAAATGATTCTTAAATCAACTTATAGTTTAGGAATAGATTCTCCCATTACAATAAAATTAATTGATAATAGAATGATTAATTATTCTGATGCGCTAATAGCAGAAGGGAGTGGAAATTTAAAATTTGGTAAAATTAAGTTTAACTTAAACTACCAAGTTGGGATGTCCTTATTAGACAATAATTTAGATGATTCCATCACTTTGTGTTGGAACATGAAAAGAAAAATAATGAAAACTGGAAATCATCCATTTTCAGTAACATGGAGGATAAACTATGCATTGACTAACAGTCATCACAGTTTGTCATTCAAACCTCATGATAAAATTGAAATAGATGAATTGTTTTCACCTATATTACAACTAGAAGCACCTAGAAGGTCCTTTCAAGTACATAGAACTTCATCTTTTGTTAGACCTAAAATAGAATATGTTATTCCTAAACAAAATAATGAAGAAAATGAAGCAAGTTCTTCGAAAACAGAAACTTATACTGAAGTAATCATAAAACCAAATAACAATATATATAAAATTGAACAAAAGGTTCAAGAGATAAGTAAAGAATTAGGACTAAAAATATGACAAGTTCTAATAAAAGTTTTAGAAATTTTAGCTAATATATTAATAAGGGTAGAATTGTATTTTTCACCCCTAAAATGGCTATATTTCATCTTTTTAAAAAAGATGGCTGTATTTCATTTTTTACTTCAAAAAAGTGCTAAAAACCGGCGGCTCTCTTTAATTAAGTATTTAATTTTTTTATTGTACAGTTAAAAAAATGATTATAAAATTATAAAAAAATAAAATAAAATTTAATCATTAATCAAAATTATAATAGATAATCTAATTAGTAAAAATAACACATGACTACTTT